TGGTTTTCCATTTCAAGTTTGGCTTGGTTTGCTAAATTTGGATTTGCATTTTAGATATCAGTGAAAAATCAACAATCCTTTTTGACGGAATTTAATAATAGGCAATCATTAGCTAAATGTACATATGGATTGCCCTTTGTGTATAAGGTTACTAGTTGATGAAGATTCAGAGTTTGGAATATGCTTAATCACATATTTGAATACTCATTTAGACTTCGCTATTATTCACCTTTTTTCTGTTACTCGTATTATTCTTTTCCTTCCTTGAGATGGTCATACGTAACTATATACTTCTAAAATAAAACCTATTTTAGAGAATTATTCTTTACATCATGTGGCATATCAAAGGAGGAACAAAATAAAAAGAGATAACTAATCTCATTTGAATGGATAGTCATGAGCAGGAAACAATGTACGTATTTACAGTCTTCCGGATGAGCAAGTTGAAGAGTCTAACGTAATTAGTGAGATTATTAAAGGATGTATCATCATTAATCAAATTGTAGTGACATATATATGTATAATATATACTAGTGATGTCTGGTCGCGCATGCCCAGTATATCTGTAGATCTTAGAAATGTTTGTATTTGAAAAAAAAATTTGCATTTGGCCCGATATAGTTTAGAAATGTTTGAAGAATTTAAAAATATTTTATAAGTGTGATCATAGAAATGTTTGTATTTGACAAAAAAAGAAAGTGTATTTGGCCCGGTACGTTTTAGAAATGTTTGAATATTTTAAAAATGTTTTATAAGTGTTATTTATTAAATATAAATAAACTTGATCAAGTATATCTCTTGAAATAAATGTTAGACAAAATATAAAAGCATCCTAAAAAGTTTAAATATTAGTAAGATTATTTGTTGATGTTCTCCATTTGTCGTGCCAAATCAATACTTGGTTTTGGATATTTATAATAGATTTGTAGTAAGTTTCCTCCGAAGGGTATACGTTTAATTGTTGGAACTGTTTCTTCCAAATGGTTATAGCTAGTAAAATATCAAAAATATGATTTTGAAACTGATTAATTGTTAAAACTGGTTGATCACAAATATAAGAATGAAAATTAATGTAAATTTGCATAGGTTTCAAGTTATAGTAAAAAAGAACTCACCTCACCATGGCAAATAAAAAAAAATAAGGAAAAGAGTCCATTAAAAATTGAGAAAATTTTTTTCCTGTAGGTAAAAATAATGTATAAAAATAAAAATAAACGTAGAAACATCATTCCTTCCCTCTCCACCTCAAATTCATAAAAGGCTTTCCCATAAATTAGTTAGAAGAAGCGACCTGAACTATTTATATGATGAGTAATTTTAAAAAGTCAAAAAACTAAATCCAAAAAAGTATATTCTTGAAAGTCTGAACACAAAAAAAAAACGCGCTTCATTTGTAAAAATGATAATAATAATAATAATAATAATAATAATAATAATAATAATAATAATAATTGGTCAACTGGGAGTATGAAACAAAATTAAAAGCAATTTAACAAAGAAAAAACACAATTCATAACTGACCATATACGAAAAAAAAACTGAGACTCTATAATTAAAAAACGAAAACCACTCTAAATGAATAAAATATAAAAAATAAATTAAAAAAACCACACTTTGTGACAAAAACCCAATTGATCAATTCAATTCAAACAGAACTAAAATCATACAAAAATTCTAAGCTGACTAGCCATATAAGAAGTCACATCATATTACCTGGCAACGGCTACGATAGCTGTAACGGGTGGACCCGTAAAAATAATTTAAATAACACTATTTTTGAACGGGAAAAACAAAAAATAATAAAAGCCGTACAAATGATCTGTGGATATAAAATCATTTAAATTTTAATATCTGTAACGGCACCACCACAACGGCCGAAAGCAATATCAATGAGAATTTTTTTTTTCCTTTGTGTTTATAAAGAGGTAAAGAGAATATTTTTTGAAGTCGAAATTTTATCTGATTCGGATATAGTTGATCATCACTAATGAAAAGATTGAACATGCTAATAGGAAAGAAATATATTTCACCACGTGTTCTCAAGTAGGGGTATGTTGCAATAATTGTTTTAATTGAGTTGTAATAATTGTTTTTTCCATGATACTTAAATTCTGGGAAAAAAATATTTTAAAAAATTAATGCCAGTTTTTTTAAAAAAAACTAATTAGCGTGACAGAAAAGTAGTGTAACAAAATGATATAAGTGATCTTTATTCTTTAGGCCTCTTCGAGTGCATGCAAAGTATCAAAGTAATCACGGGAGTAATCTGCAACATACCCCTACTTGGTAATTGATTTTAGTCAAACATAGATGTAGTCGAAATTTTTTTTTTTTTTTTTGAGAAAGAATTGATTAGGGAGTCGATTGTCGTGGAGATGGAGATGAGAATTTATGTTTTTTTATGAAGTCGTGTTTTTTTTTTTTTTTTGCGAAAATAGGAGGTAGTGATGGATTTGAACTGTATTTGCCTTTTAAGTCTAGGAAACTGATGTGTAAATAAAAATTTATTTTAAAAATATGATGTAGAAATACCACATGGCAAATGGTGGTGCTTTATATTAAGTGTGGTTTTTGTTTCTAATATAGTAAAATATATATATGGAAATTAAGATTGGAAATTGAAATAAAAGACAAGCTTGCACATCTTCTATTCTATCTCCTCGTCAATTAGAGGCTATGTACTTCTCACTAATACATAGCAACTTGGAGGATCCTAGAAAATTAGTTCGTATTTAATATATATATATATATATATATATATATATATATATATATGCTATAAACAATATATATCGTTTCCATAATCTTTACTAATTAAACGGCCGGCTAAGAGGCATGCAATGTTTATTACCCTATCCATTAATTTTTGCAAGTCATTTTACTAAAATAAAACCATACAAAAAAAATTGAAATTGGTCGGCTTTAAGGCAATAAAACCTTACACAGAAGTCTAAAATTCCAGCCAAGGACGCGTAACAACAACAACAACAACAATAATAATAATAATAATAATAATAATAATAATAATAATAATAACAATAATAATAATAATAATAATGTAAAACTTAGTCGTCTCATATAGATCATAAGTTTGTACATCAGCTATTCTAAGAATTCCTCAATGAGAGATGATTCGAAATGGCCTAACTAGATTGTCAGTGAAATAAAATCATTTTTTTCCCCGCTCTACTGACGTAGGAAAAGGAGGATAAATAAATGTCTCTATATTGGTCTTCCGGTTTAGAATTTATATTACTCTTCTTGTCCTACAAAAATAGTTAACATTTAGTCTCAAGATTTATATTATTTTCTCATTACAAATCTCAAAATGTGAACTATTTCTTCAGAAGGGAAAGTACTATATTTTCAATTTAGTCGGAACTAAGTCTAGTAACTAGCTAGCTAGCAAAAATGGGTAGGAACGTAGTTCTTATTTGACCTTTCAAAAACAAAAATTCTTATCTTGATATTATATTTTTCCGTTCAGGAATTGATTGTCTTGTTGATTTAGGTCTCCAAATTTCTGAGCTCTTTGGTTCAATCCAACTTGAATTTACCTTCAAATAATTTTCTAATTAAGGATAATATGCAATGAATATTCTCAAATTTCAAGCTGGCTTCTCGATATATTCTTAGGCCACACCCGGCTTCTCGATATATTCTTAGGCTACACCCAAGGGCCAATTTCCAACAATTTTAATACGTAATTGTGCATTTGTTAGATTGAATTTTGGACTAAAAATGCTTATACATACTGTAGGTGTGAGATTGTTACATGGACTGTGCTAGTCAAATAATTGAATTAGTTAAATAATTTTATCAACAATCTTAAGATGAAACAAATTCTACGACTCAGAAACTAATTTTGGTACTCTTCGCAGAGAGTACGCGTATTGTTACATTTCGTTTATATAACGACAATTTGGTTATTTGCTTATGATGTTTTCGCGTGTGACTATTGATCTAGTGTTCCGCCTGCTATTGTTGTTTTTGCTACTATTTAAAAATATGTTATTACTAGTGAGTAAATTTTGTTTGTTATTGGAAAAAAATTAGTTCATTGTGGGGTAAAACTCAACTATTTTTACAAGATTGATTCTACAGAGACATGTTCGCGTAATTAAGGTAGAATAATTTTGTCGTTCGATAAAAACAAAATTGTCGCTGTTGAATAAAAAATGACCAAAAAAATAACCAATTCTCCAGTCAAGTAGTGTATCATTGTAATAATTTTGGCTAATTTACAACATATTCTTGCTTTTATAATGAGCGTTCCAGACTGTAGCCGCTTTGCACACTTGCTTACGCGTACCTACGTTAGCGATAGTAAGTGTAGATTGTTTTCTATATACTTCTTTTGTCCTTCAATGTTGTCCAGTTTGAATTTTTATTATTACTACTATTGTTATTTAAAAAAAATTCAAATTAAATAATAATTTAGAGATCAAAATAATAATACGTTATAGAGAAATTATATAATCTCTCGCCTAATCCCCCTCACGCTGTCATAGCTTCGGCATTATCATTATTGGAATTACTCAGAGAAAATAAAGACATCTATGGTTCTGAGATCCAATATTTTCATTTCCCCTTAAGAATTACCATATAAATTTCGTCATCAGTCACATTTTCCAATAATCAGAGTTCCGGGAAGGTAGAATTTCTGGGTCCACTACCCTAACTACTAAACAGTCAATGTATATTTTAGCTCATTACACCAAGGGCAAGTGGTCATATAGTAAGGCCTGTAAACAAAAAACAGTTACTAAAAAATACCACTTTGTACATCGATACATTCAATTTAGACACAATTTCCATAAATAACAACGTCCTAGATGACAGCATAGCTTGCATCACATTATGTAAATGGGGGGTTGTATCTATCCTACCTGTCTTCTACAATCATAAGGTTAACAAATGAAGAATAAAAACGTACCGCTGGGGTCAAATATATTTACGGTGCGTGGTTGTTAGGAGAAAATTGCTATAAAAGGACGCAACATTTTTTCCACATTTTCTCATGCTAATCTCTCAACTCTTGGTAGCATATATATTTTCAGGAGTTATAGTTTCAGTTTGAATAAGATAATGGCCCCTAGCCTTTTGTCAGATTTTGAAGTTGTAAAGAGGTAGTGATCATTAGCCCTAACTACCTAGTAGCTTTAAACCCTTTTTTTTCGAACAATTTAGTTTGATTACCTACCATTAATTAATCAATGTTTTCTTCTGTTGCAGGTTGGAAGGCAAAGTGGCACTGATTACTGGTGCGGCTCAAGGTATCGGCGCTTGCATAGCTAGGGTTTTCGTCAACCATGGAGCCAAAGTTGTCTGTGTTGATATCAACGCAGAATTAGGTCAATCTGTTTGTGATAAATTGGGTCTTCAAAATGCAACTTTCATCTATGGTGACGTGACCAATGAAGCGGACGTGGAAAAGGCGATCAACATGACGATCCAGAAACATGGGAAGCTGGATATCATGATCAACAATGCCGGCATCCTAGACGACCCGAAACCTAACATCCTCGACAACGACCTCTCTGATTTTGAACGTGTCATGCGTGTGAATGTCGCCGGGGTTTTCTTAGGCATCAAACATGCAGCTCGGGTGATGATCCCCGCGAGAAGTGGCACCATCATCAACTTGGGCAGCATTTCGGGCACTCTTGGAGGATTAACTTCTCATGCATATTGCAGTTCTAAACATGCTGTGGTTGGATTGACTAAGAATGCCGCTGCTGAGCTCGGGAAACATGGGATTAGGGTTAATTGCTTGTCTTCTCACGCTCTTTACTCAGCGATGACCCAAAAATTTTTCGACTTCGATGAAGATGGAAAAACAAGAGCAATCACAAGTCTTGAAGGCGTGGCTCTGCAGCAAGAAGATCTGGCGGATGCGGCGGTTTATATGGCGAGCGATGAAGCAAGGTTCATGAGCGGACATGATCTGAAGCTGGATGGGGGTTTTACTGTCATCAATCCTTCATTTGGGCTGTTTTCGAAATCTTGATATGATTGAGGACTGTATGTTTGGTTGCCTTCGAATATGGCTTTTGTTTGCTGAATTTGGATTTACTTTTAAAGTTGATGAAATGCTGTGACAATATGCATGTTAGTTATTAAACAAATTGAATAAAAAAGAACCAAATGGGCGCTTAAGATGAGGTGCATGCATCTTGAGCACCTAGGAAAAAAGGCCATATGCAGATAATGACGAACCATGAGGAACATGCAAGTTTTATTATTCCCTACAAACTTCATTGAATTAAGTAAAACTGAATGAAAAGTGGAAAAATAAAATTTAACAGGGATATGATTATCATTAATATTCATTAAGTTAGCTCTACATATATACTTCCGTAGTCAAGTGACTCAGAAATTGACTTCTTGAGGGGCACGGTCCTTTTTTTCCCCAGTTGATCAGTTCGAGGGTGAAAGGTCTTTTTCTTACTACTATGAGTTTGTAATGTAAGGCAATTGGTGACATTTTTCCATGTCACTCAAACTCTCGTATACGCAAATTGCAATTTTCTTTTTGCTGATTATTAATAATGGACTGACAAATGATTGTATGTTCAGTGCATGCCTGTACTAGTAGTCTAATAATTTAATAGATCTATATATTTGCTTGAGTTAAAATTATTCCTACCAACATTCTGAACTGATTATAATAAACAATGAAGAGGATAAATTGTTAGTTTGAGAGGGAGAAAATATTATATTTGTTTGATACTGTTTTTGCAATTCATCTATATATATAACGTACTTACGATCTTGTGTGGACTGAGTATTAAATGGATTTCTTTTTCCAAATAAGTAAAGAAATAACGATACGGAGCTAAAACAAAATTAAGAAAATTAGTTAATATTATCGACCAAAACAGTAAAAAAAGAGAAATGATATATAAGATTGACGAAGCATGAATATGCACCAACGTCTCCGGTTGGTTGAACCGGCGGCCATAGTGGATTCAAAACTCTAAAACCTGTAAAAGAGGGCCTCGGGGTCTCCTGAGGGTAGACACTCCGATACTTAAATCAGTAAAAGTAGTTGTAATAGGGTATGAATTGTGGTGCCTAGAGCGTACCTTTAACCATAAAAGGTTGATCTCTATTTATAGAGTTAGGTTATGGAACATTTTTCTTGGTAAAAAAGTAATTAAGAACCGACCTGGAAGCTTCTAGAGGCCGGTTGGACCTTTCACCGAATTTGGGCCGGCTTAGTTGCGAGCCATACTAATTTAGACTCGTCAAAGATGTTGTCTTTAAGAAGAGTGTTTGCGAAGTTCACTGGTCATTTTCTCAAAACAAACTTCTTATTCCAACCACCCAAATCCCTATCAATTTTGTATCGTATTATTTTCATGTACTTCGTTCCAAAAAAATTGGTATTGAATTTCAAAACTTGTATTAATAATAGTACTCTATTTGCCCCAAATTCATTATCAGTTCAGATTTTTACTTTTAATATAATTTAAACTAAGAATAAAAATTCAAATTAAGTAATTATTTTAAGACAGAAAATTATAAATCTGTTATATATTATTGATTTATTGTTTCGAAAAATATTTTATTTATAAGGTGACATGTGAGATACCTCGTGACGTTTTCGCAAGCCACAAACATACGGATCTTATTTCTTTTATTTTTTTTTTAGAAATAAAAGACTTTGTATTAACTTTATTAAAATTCGTCGAGCCATGATTGACATTAAAGAGATACAATCACTAAAATATGACAACTGTCTATATGAATAATATTTAATTTGAAACCGTTGCCTTCACTACAATCAACCGATCTAGTTCTAGATCTATTCGGTTAAATTCTTCAATTGTCAGACATGTTACGTACCAAATTATGATCTCGAATCACTTTACTTCTGATTAAAACTCCATTTCATATATCTAATGATTAGATTTATGATAGATGCATCTTCTTGAACAAGAACTATGATCAACAACCCAACGACCATCGATTGATGAATAACTCCGAATGACTCCTACAATCAGTAGATTCATATCTACTGAAAGTCTGCAACATGATCAGTAGATTGTAATCTACTGACGGGTTAAAACTTGTGGATAATCCCAATTATTAAAAAAACACTGAAGCAATGACTAGAATATTGAAATATTATGAGAAGACGGGGGAGAAGAATTTTTTTTTCTTTTTATAAGATACCTTGATGGTTTTTGAGACTATATATGTATGAAACCGCACCAGCCCGATGCATATACCTCTTTAAAATAGATTTTTATTCATTCATATTTTCCTCTTACATCGGTCTACAGCTGGTGTCTATGTGGTATTCAAAGTTTCCCGCATATGTGGTCCTGTGGAGTATAGAGCCCTTTAGTATCATAAGTCATTTTCATTTATCGTAAATTTTATTTAATATGTTATTCTAATTGAAAATAAATTTTAAAAATAATAATAATAATTTAGAGAACAAAATAAAAATTATAATATAATTTAAAAGTTTTATTTTCAAAATAAAATTTAAGAAAAATTAAAAATACTACCTCTGTCCCAAAAAAATGGTCCATTTTGAGTTTTCAAATTTGTACTGAAAACAATACAAATTTGAAAATTCAATTTATAAGTTTTGAAAACAGTACAAACTGATATAAGGACAAGAAGGAGTAGTCAACATTAAGTTTATATTTATATGGTATAAGTTTCATACCGCAATTTAGATTATCTTTTGAGACACATAATATATAGTAGTTAATAAGGATATGAATTGTGAGCGACTTGCTTGGTACCGTAACTCATGTAGAATGCACTTGTTTACTTCTTCAGTCTCCGTGCCCTTATTTTTAGTCTTCTCTTATTTTCAAACCCAGGGTGGGTAGATATGTAAAGGCCTTTCTTACTCTCATTGGTTTTTCTTTTTTGTTTTTTCCCCCTCGACGGGGATAAATGATGATTCCATAAAGGTACGTGTTGCAAGGGTGTTTTGTCTTAACACTAATGACATGCAAAGGGTAAATAAAAATGCATTTCCTCCGTTTCATAATTATTCTCCAGTAATAGTGAAATTAGAATTTTGTGTTTACAGGGGCGAAATGTCCAAAATTTTATTTTGCAGGGGTAAAAATCTAAAGAAAAAAATTAATGTAGACTAAAAATTTGAACCACTCTTTGAAGAAAAATTCCGGCGAGGGGAGATTGCCGCTGCTGATCCCCCCTAGCTCTGGCACTGTTGTCCAGTTTGAGTTTTCATTTCTAGTTCAAATTATACTAAAAATAAAATCTCAAATTGGATGATAATTTTAGGACAGAGGGGGTAAAAGAAAAGTTACGAGACTCAAATCGTAACATAGATTTATAATTGTGATTAAAATAAGCGTTGAGAAAAAGTTACCTCCTTCTCTCGATTGATTGGGATAATAGTTTTAAATACTGAATTTGCAAACATAATAAAAACACAAAAAAAAAGAGTTGCTAGAATTTATGAGCATGATGATATGATTTTTAAACCTTTAATTCCAACAACCCAACCTTATCAATTATGTTTACATTTTATCTTTGGTGGTGGTAAAATTGGGCTGAACCAATAATCTTGTGGGAATTTGTGTGATGAATTAAACTAAAGCACAACAAGAGCTAGAGGCCTAAAATAGAATATATATATATATATATGTAAAATGTTATCAATTTGTTGTTATTAAATTTCTTGAAAGAGAAAAAATTTTTGTTATAGGAAAGGTTCATCTTTTTTTTAAAAAAAAAAAGAAAACGAAAAGAAATCAACTTGTGTTAAGTAATATATTTTTTGCAGAGTATATAAAAGAAGGGGCTTTCAAACCTTCTACACTAGATTCATCACAGGTTAGTTTTTCATTTTAATAATATACTACGGTTGAAGCACGAAATGTCATGGAATCTTTACACGTTTGACTTGATGTACGACGCGTAACGTGGAATATATCAAAGTTGCCATATTTAATTAATTGTATTGGCCATATAAGTACTTCTTCAAACGATTCTGTATATTGAAGGACGTGTGCCCAAAACTCAAGTACATTTCCTTTTACAAAAAAAAATGCAATTCATCAGATTTTTTTTTTTTTTTTGTAAATAAAAGTTGAATGGTCCTAACCAAAATCTAAACTCTAGATTTGGTGGTAATAACCATCCCCCTCCTACTCTAACCATCCCACCCAACACTTCCACTCTTCAGCGAGTAATTTAATAGTGACATTCACAGCAAAGACCTCTTATTACGACATTCTCCTAACCTAAATCGCCCTTGTATTATTAGCATTTTATCGATATTAACTTCACGACATTTCCATCCATTGTGTACTATTATTTTCTTTTTTTATTTCCACCGAAACTTAGTAGCTTTTGAGTCAGATTTTATATAATGCTCACTACAATAATAAGGATTATGCATGCTCTTTTTGTATAATTCTTACGAGTAGTAACATCTCCATAGTTTTCGAAATACATTTTCATGTTTCAACCAAGTTAGATTTTTCACCAAAGCCAATATTGCAGGGAAGTCATCCCAAGATCTATTACCTGTCTTCTTGTGAGAGATATCAGTAGTGCTTGCAATTTTCAATCAAAGCTTTGTCTAAATTAATTAATGACATATATTTTAAGGTTGTGAATGCGAGCACACACGACACAGTCCAGTGTAGAATTGTCCATTTAATACACGTTGTTCAAGTTCTCTGTAGGATTCCTTTCTCTTTTTTCTTTTAGTACACATTTCAAAGAAATATAATACTACAGTCATACACGAAATTTCGAGAACCTTCAGGGTTAGACCTCGTCCAACGTGACTCGTAAACCACTTGTACAATTAAACTAATATATATTACTAGTACTATTTTCCGAGTGTTATGTCTGCAAAGTGCAAATTATATCTATAGTACTTAATTAAAGCAGCAAACAAAAAGGACATATGTCAGCACTATAATGAAAATTTTCCCGCCAAAACTTATTTTCAGTACAAAATCATTTTTTACACGTGGCACTCTAACTAATTAGAAAAAAATAGAATAGAAAAATACATAAATCCCTTAATTATAGCTACATAAAAATCTCTTAATTATAGGTATATACTAATCTCTCAAAACAACAATATTTAATTGATGAAGTCAAATGTAAGGAAATTCCATTAAATCAAGTGAAACACCAGTAATGTTTTCTCAATCCCCAATTTCAAAGAATCTCTTCCATTCCACTCCTCTCTCACACCCGGGCCTTTAAATCAATTACTTAAAATCTGATATCAATTATCAATTCATCTCTTTCTATAACAGAGAAAAAATAAGATGTCATGAAAGAAATTTGATTTTTTAAGGATGAATTTTTTTTATTCTTCTGTTATAGATATTGGTTTATGATTTATGCAAACCTGCGCATAAGTTAACTGATGTAAATTAAATATTATCAATCTGGGCATAGATTTATGTATAATAACTCACTTTCTATCCTTTCAATCGATTTTTTATTCTTCTATTTTTTTATTCTTTTAAAAATGATTCGTATTTTTTATTTAATTGATTTAAAAATACAGGCGGGACGCGTGATTTTTTTTTTTCTTTTAATGAAATTCTGCATGTGAATAATTGCGACGTCCAAGTTTAAAAGAAAAAATTAATCAGCTCCAGTCAGATTAGGCACGTTTTAAACGAACTAGAAAACCATGAATTTAGCATCACTGATTGCACCAAAAGAAAGTCTGATTGCTATAAAATGATGCTTAAGTTTCCTTTTGCGAGTATCAATTCATCATTTCCTAGCATCTTGAATAGCTTCTTAATTATCACTCTCAACTTTTCGTAGCTAGCTTAAATTCTTCGAGAACTAACAGTATCAATTTCTGCACAAATGGCTCCTGCTGCTGCCCCTTTTTCACAAGTTGAAGTTGGCAAAAGGTACGTATTTATATAAGCTTATTATTGCTTAAAAGTAGCAATATTATATTAATTGTTTCTGGATCAAAATTTATATTGGTTTTTTTTTTTTCAGGGGAAAATTGACTGGCAAAGTGGCACTAATCACGGGTCCGGTCAAGGAATTGGAGCTTGCATAACAAAAGTGTTTGTTGACGAAGGTGCCAAAGTTGTGTGTGTTGATATCAATGCAAAATTGGGACAATCAGTTTGTGACAAATTGGGTTACAAAAGAGATACTTTTTTCCGCTGTGATGCGACTAACGAGCTTGATATGGAAAAAGCGATTAAGGCAACGATTGAGAAACATGGGAAACTGAATATCATGATCAACAATGCCGGTATCGTGGATGATCCGAAACGTAATATCCTCGACAACCATCTCTCGGATTTCGAACGTGTCATGCGTGTGAATGTGGCCGGGGTTTTCCAAGGCATCAAACACGCTGCCCAGGTCATGATTCCGGCTAAGACCGGAAGCATCATCAACCTGGGCAGCATTTCCGGCAGTGTTGGAGGCATTACTTCTCATGCATACTGTAGTTCTAAACATGCTGTGGTTGGATTTACTAAGAATGCAGTTGCTGAACTTGGGAAACATGGGATTAGTGAAAATTGTCTATCTTCTTATGCTGTTTACTCATCCTTGACCAAGAAATTTTTCGACTTCGAAGAAGGTGGGCCGCAAAAGAGAGCAATCACAAGTCTTGAAGGAGTTGTGTTGCAGCAAGAAGATCTTCCGAATGCTGCTGTTTATATGGCTAGTGATGATGCTAGGTTTATGAGTGGGCATGATCTTATGTTGGATGGTGGTTTTACTGTTACCAATCCTTCGTTTCGGTTGTTTTCTAGATTTGCCTTACTGTTTGGATTACATTTTTTGGGGAAAGAAATCAGGATCGACAGTGTAGTACGTGTTGATGAGTGATAATCAATTAATCCTTGTAGAAAACCTATTTTAATAAATATAAGAAATGTAACATGATTTTACTGATGTCATATTTACATTATTACTCATGAAATATTTCTTGCGCAAATAATTTTTAGATGAAGCTCATGTATGATTTTTTTTTTTTTTATTGCAAATGGAGCTGGAAGTGCCATTATTGACAATTCTTTCAGTTTTGAGCTAATAATGGATTAGATCAAAATAGCTCATTTAAATTTCGACGCTTCTTAATTTGGTGAAATTGCGGGAAATCAATATATCAATGCACCAATGCATTTTGGGTCGAACTACTTAAACAGCCTCTCTGTATTGAAAATACATGGGTAAGGTTACGTACATCTTGACCCCCCAGACCCCAATCGAATTAGGAATATAGTGGGTATGTTGTTGTTCTTGTATATTCTCCATTTATATCAAAATACTTATTATACTAAAATTGAAAATACAAACTAATCAACAATCATTGTGAGACGGAAGTCTAATGTTACAAAGTGCTACTTTTGGTTTTGGTGAAGTACTTCAATATGTGTTCTTGGAGGTTTGCATTTTCAGAGTTTAGCAATCCTTACGAAGTCAAAACAACGGAGTTGTTCCTATTGTAATTAACATTAGAGCTGATATATGTGATTTAATCAGCTGATTGAAGATGATAATGACGTTATTAGTAAACTGTGTACTCATTTGACTCGCTGTAGCTCACAATTTACAACTTATATATAGCTTTCAACAACAAACGTTGGAGATGACAAATACACAGTACTACCAAAGAGAAATATTTTCACTTAGAAACTTTGAGACGAAAAACCAACACTTACGTAGTTTAGGTCAAAACTATAGATTCACCTAAACCTGAGACAAAAACCAACACTTATGTCAAGCAAGCGCAATGGAGTATACATAATGGGAAAAGTCCCGGGCCGGATGGATTTAGGAGTGGTTTCTTCAAAGGAGCTTGGAACACTGCTGGAGAGACTGTTATAAAAGTTGTTTCAGAGTTTTTTGAGAATGGCAAACTCCTCAGGCAGATCAATGCGACAACTTTGGCTCTAATCCCGAAAAATGATTCCCTTCAAAATGCCAGTGAGTACAGACCAATTGCTTATTGCAGTGTGGTCTACAAAATCATTTCCAAGATTATTTGTGATAGACTGAAGAGTGTTTTACCTGATCTGATTGATTCTAATCAAAGTGCGTTTGTGAGCAACCACATTATTCTGCATAATGTTCTCCTTACCCAAGAGCTCATCAGAATGTACGGCCAGAAGAATATCAGTGGTAGATGCATGCTGAAAATTGACATTCAGAGGGCGTATGATTCTTTGGAATGGAATTTCATTCAAGACATGTTAGATGGCTTCAGTAACCCTGAATCATTTAGCAGTCTTATCATGGAATGTGTAAGATCCCCAACTTATATATTAGGACTCAATGGCGAAAACTGTGGATATTTTCAGGTAGGAGAGGTCTTCGACAGGGTGACCCCATGTCACCATTGCTATTAGTTATGGCAATGGAGTATTTAACTCGGATGTTGAAAGAAGCTGCTAATGATCTCAAATTTAAGTTTCATACACAGTGTGAAATGCTAAAACTCACAAAAATCAGCTTTGCAGATGATTTGATGATTTTTTGCAAGGCTGATGTATATACAATGCAAAAAATCATGCAGGTTTTGCAGGAATTCTCTCAGACTACAGGGCTTGGTTCAAACCCTAGAAAGTCAGCAGTGTATCTTGGAAGCGTTTCTGAGGTACTTAAACAACAGATTTTGGATATTTCGGAGTTCAAGGAAGGTAGCTTTCCCATGAAGTACCTAGGTGTTCCAATTTTCCCGAGGAAGTGGAACCAAACTGAATGTGACACTTAGTCCAGAAAATGTCAGCTAAAATTCGATGATGGAGTTCAAGGCACCTTAGTTATGCAGGGCGTCTTCAATTTGTCAATGCTGTTCTGATGATGATGAATAATTTCTGGGCACAAGCTTTTATTCTGTCGAATAGCATAACACAATAGGTAAATAGAATGTGCCGAGAATACCTTCAGGGAGTGAAGGAAAATGGATGTTGTGTGTCACTGGTGAGCTGGGATTTGGTTTGTAGATCGAAAAAGGAGGGTGGTTTGAACACACGGGATGCGCAAAGGTGGAATGAAGCTGGTTTGATGAAACAAGTGTGGAGTCTGGCCAATAAAGCTGATAATTTGTGGGTGCGTTGGATCCATGGGGTTTATTTAAAGAAATATGGTTTGTGGGAGGTTCAACCAAAGTTAGATTCCAGTTGGCACTGGAAAAAGCTGCTGAAACTAAGAGATAGGATCAAGGATCAAGTGACTGGCAACAGGTGGAATCATACTGTTTCTGGGAAATATACTATCAGTTCAGGGTATAGATGGTTAATGGAGGAACAACAGCAGTTCTCAGGAGCATCTTTTATTTGGGCACGTTATAATGTGCCAAAGCATGCGTTTATAACCTGGCTGTGTTGGAGGAACAGATTGCAAACCACAGACAGGCTTAACCGGTTCATGGTTCCACAGGTTGATTCAAAATGTGAATTTTGTCATCAACAGCAAGAAGATGCATTGCACTTGTTTTTTGAATGCAGATTTTAAAAGGAAGTGCTGAATGAAGTGAATCAGTGGTTAAACCTTCAGATTTCTTGTCATCAGATTGGCTGGAGAAAGAAAATTCTGTGTACTTGGAGAAATTCCAAACTGAAGAGGAAGGTACCTTTTGCTGTATTTTCTGCTTTGATATATCATTTTTGGGAAGAAAGAAATGCTAGATGATTTGTTGGAAGGGAGAGAAGTAATAGTCAGTTAATTCAAGTGATTAGACAGGAGGTATATTGGCGAGTTCAAAACTGTTTAAGGCAACCATATTCAGCCAAGGAACAAGAAATTTTGCAGCAGTTGTTTTGTAGAGTATAGTATTAGTTTTTAAAAAAAAAAATGAAAAAACACCTTTCATTTCATGACTTTGAACGTTTTTTGACATGGGTACACATTTGTAGTTTGAGCTTTCCTATAAGGGATTATGATGTAAGATAAAATTTCCACTCAGGATGTAGTATGCTTTGTCTTCTTCAGTTTGGTGATGGCTTTGGCGTCGTTGTTGTCCACGCTTGTTTGAACTGGGCACACTCAAAAGGAGTCTTCTCCGTCACCATGTTCTTCAACATCCTTAACTTATGCACATGGGAAAGAGTGTTGGTCTAGTCTAATAAGACCTCTTGTAGTTGCTGGTAAATCTCTAAGAAGCAAAAACTGAGCTGAATGCATTGATGAGGCTAGTTTTGCCAAATTGTCTGCCACCACGTTTGATTCTCTATAAATTTGCTTAATGGAGTATTTCCTTCTTTGCAAAATAGTCTTGATTTCTTTCATTTCAGCATGATGAATCCAAGGGTAATCAGCTCCTTTTTTAATCAAGTCTTTCACCATTTTGTTGTCGCACTGGATAAACACATTCGGCAGATCCATCAAGTCGCATCTTTGCAAACCATGGAGTACACCTTTATCTTCTGCAGAGAGGTTGAAGTCAAGTCCCAGGTAGCAACTTTCTCCATATATAAATTGCCCATTATCTCCTCGAATAACAAAACCGTAACCTGCATTGCCCGGAGTTCCCATCGCTGAACCGTCTGTGTTTAAAATGAAGTTTCCTCGCTCAGGATGTAGCCAACTTACAAGTAAAATGTTCCTTTTCTTTGGCTTCATGACTCGAACTGAAAAAAAATGCTGGAGATATTCAAACTCTTTTTGAGTTCGAGCTGCCAGATTTACAGTTTAGAACATACCGATGACATGGTCTCGAATTGATTTGATCAAAGAAACTTTTGAAAAAGCTACACCTTCATAAAAACCTTTGTTCCTTGCTTTCTATACCTCCCATAAAATAAAGGAGGGCAAGCTTTTAACTAGAGAGGACATTGTCGTGGTAAAATTGCAAAGCGACCACCATGCTTGTAAGAAAACCCACAGGCCAGAGACTGGTGGTAAGGACAGTCCCAACATAGAGCAAAAAAAATCCCAAATTGGAGTGATGCATGGACAAGTAAAAAAAAACGTGCATGATTGATTCACTTTCAGATTTGCAAAGAACACATCTAGAGGGGAATGGCTTGAAATGTAAGTAGAAAGAATTTCAGGAAAGGGGAGTAACCGGTTGTAGAGTTGCCACATAAAGTGAGAGAACTTCAAGGGTATCAGTTTGTTCCACACATTTTCCATGAGTGGGCCTTTATTCTGTCGTTTCTGCAAAACTTGAAAGGCTGAGTGCAAGGTAAATATACCATTGGAGTTTGGCTGCCATATAATCCTGTCTTCATCATCAGAGAAAACCATTCCATATTAAGCAAAAGCTCCTGCAGGTCTGCACTCAAGATGTTATCAAATTCAACAATGTAAAACTTTTTGTTCATAAAAAAATCATGTATTGTTAAATCAGAATAAGGAGGCAATTCAGGTAGGGAGGGATCCCACAAAATTCCAGATTTTACCCAATTATCATGCCAAAAAGAGGAAGCACCAGATTGTATCTCAATTCTGGTATGATGAACCACTTTTTGATTTATTTTCAACACCCTCCTCCATGATGTTCTTTTCCTTACCGTTGGTGATAATAATGATACAAACTTTGTCCATAATCCCTCCCCATTTCTAAACCTCCACTAATAATTTTGCTGAGAAAGCCTCTATTATGTCTGAGAATTTCCTCAATCCAAGGCCATTTTCTTTGACTGGATAAGCTAGTTGATCCCATGATCGCCAGCGCCTATTTTGACCTTCATCCATTTCACCCCATAAAAATCTTTGACAGCGTTTTTCAAGTTCTTCGACAATGGATTTTGGCGGAATAATAGCTGCAAACACATGAAGTGGGATTGCAGATAACAGATGTTTGATGAGAAGTAGCTTGCCCCCAGCCGAGAGAAACTTACTTTCCCAATTAGCAAGCTTACTGTCAAAGGCGTCCAGAAGAAACTGAAAGTGAGAGGCTGTTTTTCTGTCATTAAAAAGTCGACAAGCCAAATATGTAAAAGGCAAGGAACCGCGGCGGACTTTTAGAACTCGAGTATACGTTGAAATCAATTCAGGACGGCTCTTTGATGAGGCAAGGAAGAAACTTTTCTGGTTGCTCACTTTTTGACCCGTAGCAAGTTCATAGTTCTTGAAGAATTTTGTAAGCTCTTGCAAAGATCTTTTGGTTCCTCGTGTAAAGACAATCAGGTCATCAGCGAAGCACAAATGGGAGATTGACACTGAACCATCAGGTGTGCCATATTGCTTCAATTTTCAAGTTTCAACAAGAAATTTTATCCGACGAGTTAGGGTTTCTGAAACTAAGATGAACAAATAAGGAGATATTGGGTCTCCCTGCTTGATTCCTCTAGTTGCTTGGAAGAAACCAGTGGGACAACCATTGATTAACACTGAGAACCAGCTCTTCCGTAGGTTTCCCAAGATTAGGTGAATAAAACGGGGGTGAAAACCAAAAGCTTGTAATAGGGACTCAAGAAACTCCCATGATACTCTGTCGAAGGCTTTTATCATGTCAACTTTGATCACTATGTTCCCACCTACCGCTTTGTCTTTGTCTTCCAGAAATTGACATAAATCTTGTGCTGTCAAAATATTATCGGTAATATCCCGCCCAGATAAAAAGGCAGACTGCTCCTCTGAGATCAATCCATGCAATTTTGGTTTGAGTCTTTCTGTCAGAATTTTGGTGAAGACTTTGTTGACGAAAGTGCATAAGCTTATTGGTCCGTAGTCTGCAAAAGTGTTGCCTGAGTTCCTTTTCGGGATCAAGGTGATCAATGTACTTGAAATCCCCCTTGAGATAGGAACTCCACCTAGAAATTCTTGGTTCACTACAAACAAATCAGCTACAATTATGTCCCAACAATGCCGAAAAAAATGACCACCAAAACCATCCGTTCCAGGTGCACTTTCTGGATCTAAGTTAAAGATAATTTGTTTTAGTTCTTCTAATCCCACAGGAGCAAGAAGCTCTTCGTTATCCTGAGTTGTTACCAAAGAAGGAATATGTTGCAGTAGTTCCTTCCTTGCAGATTCTGCGCCTAGGTCATCTTACTTAGTCAGCAAATTTTTAAAAAAGTTCTCTGCATGAGATTCAATTTCAGATAGATCAGTGATCCAATCCCCATTCTCATTTTTAATTTTATAAATACTCATTTTTGCTCTTTTTTCCTACAGAGAAGCATGAAAGAACCTTGTGTTTGCATCACCCTCTTTGAGCCATTTAAGCTTCATTTTTTGTCTCCAAAAATCTTCTTCTTCCTTCATCCTTGCAAGCAGCTCTGCTTTTGATTTATTGAGAGACATTAGGTCTGCATCATTCCCAGTGTTATCAAAAGTGATTTCACATTGTCTGACTTTGTCTTCAACATTTCTAATATTCTGAAAGAGATCACCAAAGGACTTGCGATTCCATTCTCTAAGCGCCTGTTTTAGACGTCGAAGTTTCAAAGAGAAAGCAAACATCCCATAACCCAAAACTGGTTGATCCCAACTATCCTTCACCACTTTCAAAAAATCTGATCTCCTTCTCGACATGTATTGAAAACGGAAACTACGAGGTCGATTCTCTTCAGCATTATTAAACTGGTACAAGAGGGGATTGTGGTCTGAAGTTGCTCGACTAAGGTGCTGAACTGACGAGACAGGGAACAAAGCCATCCAATCTTGATTAAATAATAATCCGTCTAGCTTTTTCGAGACCCTGCCTGAATGTCGAACGCCACTCCATGTAAACTCGTGACCCATAGATGGCAGTTCCGAAAGGTTGCAATGATTTATCCAAAGATTGAAGTCATCCATTGATCCTCTATCCGGCGATGAACATCCAGAGTATTCCTCCATCGACCTTATGACGTTAAAATCTCCACCTACCATCCAAGGTGTGCCAGTGTGTTGTTCATGAAATGCAGTAAGGTCATTCCACATATCTCGACGACCGTTCCGAGATGACTTTGCATAAACTGCAAAAAGTAGAAAAGAACTTGGAACAGAAGGGTGAGCGATGGACTATGTTACCCGGACTCTTCTATTTGGGGAGAATACCTATGTCGTGTCGTGTCGACACTGGTGTGGGTATAAGTGTCGGGTGTGACATTTTAACATAAAATATTCAAGATTTCTAAAATATTGACGTATCGGACACTCAGATCCCCGCACTGGATACGACACCCGTATCCGAGTCCAGGTAACATAGGTGATGGACATATGTAATACTTGTTTTGTTCCTCCCAAAACACTTACATGAATTTTAGAGCTACGAAATATCCAAATCTTATTAGTAATGGAATGGAAAGCATGATCAAACTTGAGCAAATTTCTGATTTTTTCTAAGCTATCTGTTTTAAGCATAGGTTCTAGTAAGACCACAAAAGAAAGGCTATGCATACGAATTAATTTTTTCAAACGCCGCTGAGCAGCATTGTCTTTGACTCCTCTAATATTCCAAAATAAAAAATTGATCATAATTAATATTTAAAATAAAAGAGGAATTGAAAGGGAAGTACTAACGAAAGCCTTGGCGAAGTTCGCTTTGGCTAGTCTGATGGTGCTTCTTCTTGATTGTCCATGTTCTGATCACTCTTCTTAGGACGTCCTGGTTTGCGTTTAGTTAGCTGATGTGTGGACTCTAGTGGAGGATCTCCTTTAAACTGATCTAATGAGTCGGCATATACCTCCAAAGCTTCATCATCTGAATGAGTGATCATTAGCTTTTCCTCTCCAGTACAGTAGCAGGTTCTTGGCTAGCTGCAATGTGTATATCATCCGTCGAGGAAAAGACTTTTTTGGGTTGCTTAGATACTTCGATACAATCATGTTGCGGCATTGTACAAGTTTCATCTGTTTCCAAAAGACTGGAAAATCTATTCTATAGAACTAGATGGGTAGAGGCCTCCATCTATGTTACCCGGACTCTTCTATTTGGGGAGAATACCCGTATCGTGTCATGTCGACACTGGTGTAGGGATGAGTGTCGGGTGTGGCATTTTAGCCTAAAATGTCCAATATTTCTAAAATATTAACGAGTCGGACACTCAGATCCCCGCACCCGATACGACACCCCGTATCCGAGTCCAGGTAACATAGGCCTCCATAACCATGTTGGTGTCATCGTTTGGCTCCAATTGCTCAATATGTTCATTTGTACCTTCATCAAATGTAGCAAGTGAAGAACTTTTAGGAACATCAGTTACCTGGACATCTGATTTGTCATGAGCTAATGTTTGCGATAAATTTGAGGCGTTTGGGACATCGGTTGGGATTTTCTCTTTCTCCAACATAGATACACTAGTTCCGGATGCATTAACTTCACTGGAGGAAATTAAGTGTTGATTGTCAACTTTGGTTTGCTGCTCTTTGTGTTGAGTATTTGCTTTGTCAACCACTTGTCGGCCGGGTTGCTAGGATGCTTTCTTCAAATTTGGATTTTTGACTTGACAGGTTATTCAGAGTGCCCCAAATGCCAGCAATAATTACAATAAGCAGGGAGCATTTCTTCAGTCTCAATTGGTTGCCAATAGCCAAAAGAGTCTCCTATTTCCATCCATATTCTTTTTGGGATTTCTTTTTGAAGATCGACTTCAACTTGTATTGTAGCAACATTTGGTCTCCTTCCATTTTGAGTAGCAGAGTCAATTCTCAAGGGGGTAACAAATTGTTTTGTAATGTCGAACAAAGTTTCCTTGTTGGATAGGTGAACTGGTAGTTTGGGAAGCTTGAACCACAGTGGAACAATTGATGATTCTCTATCGACATGAAAATATGGTGTCCACTTGAAGATTCTCATGGGCTTACTATCAATATACCATATGCTCCTAGAATAAATTCTTAACAAGTCTTTTTCGGAATTAAAATTCAAGAGAACATGTTTGCTACCCATCAGACCCACAGTAAAAGTTGTAGCTAGATCTTGCGAAATAAAGAAATTTTGGATGACTTCAAGGGTAGGACGACCATGAGGAAACTTACCGACCAAAGCATATTGATATGGTTCAGAGTATTTAGCTACCAGTGGAGTTGGGAATTTGATGGCGATTTCCCCTTTGTGTTTGCCGGCAATTGAAGAGCTCGGATTTGAGTTTTTTGGGCCGGATAAAGCTTGTATGAAGTTCAATTGGTGATTGGCAGGTGGAGCTTGCCCATGGCCGCCATTGTGGTGGCCGCCCTCCATGTCGGAGTTAGCCGTTGGGACAGGGGCGTTGGAAAGAAACGTTCGTTGCAGAGAGAGCTTTTATTTAGAGAGAGAGAGAGATAGTATAGTATCCCTTCCTTCCTGTCTCATAATTATTGTCCGGTTTGACTTTTCATTTCTAGTTCAAATTATACTAAAAGTGAAATCTTAAACTGCATAATAATTTTGGGACAGAGGGAGTATTAGTTTATAGAGCATAATGAGTTGTAGTAGTGTTTTTCTTTGATTGTAAATATGCACTGTTAAGTCTTTTTATGCAATATATTTATATTTTCACAAAAAACAAAAATTTTTCATTCCGATCGATCGACTAACTATCTAGGTTTCTCATTTTATTTTTTTCTTACTTTTTTTTTGGTCCATTCTTTAATTTTCTTTACTAGATGCTTGCCCCGGGCGAATGCATCGGGTGTTCGCTGTATTTTTAAAATGATTAAATAAAAAATATGAATCATTTTTAAAAGAATACAAAAAATTAGAAGAATAAAAAATTGATTAAAAAGGCAGAAAGTGAGCTATTACACATAAATCTATGCCCAGATTTACAACATTTAATTTATAATAGTTAACTTATGCCTGGGTTTACATAAATCATAAACCAATATCTACAACAGAAGAATAAAAAAAATAATCCTTAAAAAATCAAATTTCTTTCATGATAGCTTATTTTTTCTCTGTTGTAGAAAGAGATGGATTGATAATTGATGTTAGATTTTAAGTAATTGATTTAAAGGCCCGGGTGTGAGAGAGGAGGGGAATGGAAGAGATTATTTGAAATTGAAGATTGGGAAGACATTACTGGTGTTTCACTTTATTTAAGGAGATTTCCTTACATTTGATTTTATCAACTAAATATTGTTGTTTTAAAAGATTGGTATATACCTATAATTAAGATATTTTTATGTAACTATAATTAAGGGATTTATGTATTTATCTATTATATCTTTTTTTTTTCTGATTAGTTAGAGTGTCACGTGTCAAAAATGATTTTGTACTGAAAATGGCTTTTGGCGGGAAAATTTTCATTGTGGTACTGACACATGTCCTTTTTGTTTACTGCTTTAATTAAGTACTATAAATTTTAATATTATAATATATCAATTGTAAACCAAAAGAATAACTAGACTAGAGTACGTTATATAATTTTTTAGACGGGGTTATATTTAATTTTGCTCTATCAGACCTAATCGTCCTTCATCATGTTTTTTCCCTCGCTGGGTTCATATCACCATGCTCATCCTTAATTTATTTTCATACAACTGGAAGTGGAAACATTAAAGTGAATCCATCTTGTGAAAATTATCTTGATTAAATTACAAAATTAGAAATTCTAAAATCTGTAAATATTCAAATGTTTATGACTTTGACAACCTACTATATTAGTAAGGCGGTCATGCATAAAATAGATATCAATAAATTTTTAATATTTTGATTTATAAAATTGAATTTCTTTCGGGACAAAAGGGAACATAATTTATTCATCAATCGTGGAGAATGCAGTTTTATTTTCTTTTTCCCGCAAAGACTTTAAATACAATGTAACCCGTATGTAGAATTCGTTTTAAATGACTCAAGCATTTGGCCAGAGAGAGAGTTCTCTACGAATTTTGTCTAATTGGCTTGAAAGGTTGACGGAGGCTCTTAAAGTAGGAACGAAAAAGATTGAAATTAATAATTTATTAGTTAACCACTTACATAAAACTTCTCTAAACGAATACCCTTGGACCCTGAAATTTTATTAATTTATATAGTTATTATTAATTTATCAATAAATCATAACTAATGAAAATTTTAAGGTTGTGAAGGAATGCAATATGAATATGTACACCAGTCAACTATATATAGTAGATGGAAGACGTGGTTTAATTTCTCCGTAGGATTCAGGTTAAAATAAAAGACTAAAATTTACACATTGAAGAAAGAAACGTAATTGATTGATTAAGGCAGAAACCCAATGGCATAAAGGGGCGGAGTCAAGCCCCAACAATATAGTGGGGCAAGATTTTCAAAATTTGTGATTTAACATGTTTGCCTTTTAACATTTTTAATTTAGGTGGGACAAAAACTATATTTCCAAAAAAATTTCTTAAATTTTTGGGGGATATTAGCAAGAAAAAAAAAAAATCAGATGGGGCAATAGCCCCAACTGGAGTGTATGTAGCGCCGCCCTTGGCATAAATCAACGGTCATCCATGCCAAAAACATGCAAGACAGAGATTAGTATTCCAATCACTAATTCAGTATAGTAACAAAGCAATAATTAATGTGTAAACTAAATAAAGATGGATTTCCGCGAATATTAAAACTGTGATTGCACCACGATATATATGATTGGATTCGCTGATCACGGTCTTATGTGTTGTGATTGGAATTTGGTAATGATTTGTTATTTAGTTATATACACTTTTGGTTTCTTTCATTGGAACCAAAAAAAAAATAAAAACAAAAAACAAAAAAAAAAATAAAAAACAAAGAAGGTGTAAATAGAGATGAGAGAAGGTAAAATAAACTTTGTTAAAAGGGAATCAAAGAATAAACCGCGAAAGATTCTAAAGAAGTGGGTCAAAGGATTTATTTGAACCTCTATCAGTAACTAAAGCAAAGTCCAAAGTCTTGCTGGGGCGGCCAACGGGCCAAGGAACCCAGACCTTTCCGTAATTATGATTTCAAACATGAATTTTGCAAGCATGATTCGTGGAATTTAGGTCATTGAAACTTGTATCCGTATACATATTTTATTAAAACAAATGGAACCATCATTTTAGATCGAAAGAAAGAAGAGTACAACAAATATGCAATGCTGTAAGCCTGTAACGCAAAATTTCAAGAAAGTTCAGGGGTTGACTTGCTAGAACGTGACACGTTGATGCAACAAGAACGTCGACTGGATGTCTACCTTTACAATTTAGTAGTTGTTTTTCAATTAAATTTCTAAAGTCTGAAAAATGTTAAGTCAAACTATTTAATTAAAAATAATTACAATAAACAAAAGTCGTCTTTGGAGCGACACAACTTGACACACCCAATCGTTATTGGCGAATACCCCTTGCAGATAAAAAATGTATATACGCATAATGCAATATGGCAAAATAGTCTGTTTACTTTAAAACCTGCATCATTGCTTGCATTTTTATTTGGCAATTATAAGGCAATTGCTCTAGCTCAAAGAAAATGAGAGAACTAGAAATGAACCTAATAACTTACAAAAATTTAAAATTCCTAAAGGGGCGAAGAGGGAAAAACAATCTAACTAGATACATATTTCATTTTTACACACTCTAAGCCCATCAAACCACCTTTCATTTCCCCTAACATTTTGTTAAGAAAGTTGTCAGTATTTTTTGTTTACCGAAGAATTTGTCAGGTCTTTAGTTCCCAAAGATCAACTGATCCTTTTCCCAAGCTTCTTTCATCTGTATCGCGTTGGTTCTGAGGCTATTTTCCATGGCCTGCATTGAAGATGAACCAGTTATACACATTCAAAACGGCATCAATCAAATTGTGCCACGCAGAAATAAGGCCAAAAATAGAAAGGCAGATCACGAGGACTGTGACACCAGAGTTGCATTATCCAACTTAAGACAATTGTAGATAATTTGGAATTAAGATCAAGTTAACAACACATTGAAAATGCTATATGCTGACATCATTGAACATTTCGGTCATTCTTACCTGCATTGCTCCATTCGACACTAAGAGAGCTTCACATTGGTCAAGCATGGCTCTTTCTTGAGATGTAACATCAGCAAGTTCAGAAATAAGGGAGTTCATTTCCTCCACCTAGAAACAACAACAATGGATGTTCAAATTAATTTGTAAATGTTATTGTTTTGAAGTTAATCAGCACCGGATCTAAAATTTAAGCTCTCGATTCTTAAATTAGGTGTATTCACTATACTGTAACGGTGATCTAATTTTAGGGGGCATTCCTCAAGAAGTGAAAAGTTCCAGGAGATTCTGATTAAAAGTAAAATGCACAACAATGATGTCAAAGTATATGTTGTGTTCCTATCTCAAAACCAATTAGCAATAAGGGGAGTAGCTCATGAAACTTATATATTGATACTAAGAGTCTCCCAACACCAATGTGGGATTGAGACTCTTTAATACTCCCCCGCAAGCCCAACGTATTTTTTGTTGGATTTTTTGGAGTCCGAATAGTGGCGGGCTGGCTCTGATACCATTTCAAAATATATAAGTACTTTGAGCTTTCATTTCAAAGCCAATTGGCAATGAGCGGGGTGGCCTTTGGAACTTATATACTGAGTCACTTCTATTCACGGTGGCGATGTGCGACAGAAATACACCTAAATATCCTCCCTGAAGTCCATTGGGTCTTTTGAACTTTTGCTCAATGGACTTGGATCAGGACAAGAACAAAATAGCCCATGAGTCAACGCTCAAGTGGGAGAAACCCAGTTATATCGCTGGATCGGTTCACAATAAGGCCACGAGTCAACGCTCTAGTGAGAGAAAACCAATTATACCACTTGATCGGACCACAACAAGCCCACGAGTCAACGTTCAAGTGGGTCAATATAAAATCACTACGAGCCACCTGTGGCCCAAAATTCCACCACAAGCCCAGCATGCTCTGATACCATATCAAAATATATAAGTATTTTGGGCTCTCATCTCAAAAACCAATTGACAATGAGTGTGTAACCTTTGAAACTTTTATACTTAGACGCTTCTTTTTATGGTGGCGATGTGGACAAAAATACAGATTACCAAATGGACATAACGCTCAAAAGAGTATGGATCTTCAGATAAATAAGGCGTATCAAACACACAGCAACTCAGTAGCTGCCAGTGAGCTAAATGACATTCTCACATAATGCCCAATTTTTAAAGTTTTATAACAGTCGGAAATCTGGTCATAACATCCTTATTCTTCTATTAAACTTGATTACAAAGCAGCATGAGTAGTCTATATTTATAGACTTATTATACAAAAGTGATAACTATTTTAACTCTAACAGTAACTCTCACATAAACTCAAGTTTAACAGAAAATTGTCACTGTCAGGATTGAATTAATCTAAACTACCTTGACAACATCCATATCTCCTAATTGAGTATGATCAGTCTTATCTCTCCATTCTTTTATTGACGCCTTATTACTCCTCATACTTAAATTATGACTGGAGGTAAGGTTCTCAGGTTTACTGTTACTTTTAACATATATATCAAACCGGGAGAGACTCTCCCCCTGTGGCAAAACTACAATAGTCTTTTAGTCACTATTATGAAAATCTTAAATGAACACACATCGAGACATCATTATTTCAAACCTAAATCCTGGAAAACAGAACCTTTTGAATTATTTGTATTGACGTATAATTGCTTGTGATCTCTTTGAAGTTCAAACATCTTTCTTGCTTCTTCATAATTGGTACCGGATGCTAGCTATGCGAGATATACCACTGGTTAAACTTTGGAGGGAAGACCAAACGTTTATCTTAACTTCAAGATCATGAAAGACGACTTTTCTCCCATTTGGCCGACATTTCGTTAGTGCTCAACTCGAAAAGCTGGTAGCTTAATTAGCTCATCATGGCAAAATAATTAGAACAAAGCTTTATAATATAAGGAACATGTAACAATTATTTAGGGACGGATGAAGAATTATACATAAGTTTATGTTTTCATTTCCATCTGCATATATAACGTAACTTGTTTTGTATAGACTGAGAATTAATTCCATTGAAATTATTGAATTGACATGAAGTTAAAAGTACTTCCTCCGTATAACAAAGAAAAACCATTTTATCAAATTAAATTAATAAAATAGAATCTATTATTAGTTTTGGGAATGGATTGAGTAAGAAAATTGAATCAAATATATTAGTACTAATTACAATCTTCCTAGGATATTCTACTCTTATTACATTATGTGAAATCCAATATTCGAGATTCGATGCTGAGTGTTGTAAATATTGACATCTCATCGCTTTATTGTCGCATAAAACGCAAGATAATCTGCCGCAAAATTCCCTTCCTTAAATGCATGCACTCTATTCTACTTTCCACTGAATCCATTCCCTAGCCATTAACTCCTAATGCTCCCGATCAACTAGCTGCATTTCTGTTGGGATCCTTCTTCCCTAGCCCAGTACTCCCAATCCCAATACATAAGTTCAAAACGGGGTTCTATTTTAAAACCAATTGATAATAGAGGGAGTAATCCATCAGACTTATATACTGAGTTTGGAATTTTCCGTCACTGATTTGGGATTGGGTTTGCACACCCAACACCTCCTCTCAAACATAGGACAACACTTGGGCCTATCTTTCAACAACAATCCAACTTGTACTACCGTCACCACCCGTGGAACGCGCCGCTTGATCCACCATTGTCATGAAAACTTTCGACACAAGGCCCACAACTAGAAACTCGGCTCCAGCTCTATTGAGCCCGATAATCGTTATAAGGCCAAACTGGGAGAACATGCCACATTATCCGCACATCAACTAGACTAGAACCGGCTCTGATACCACTTGTTGGTATCCTTCTTCCCTAACCCAGTATCCTCATCCAATACATAACCCTAAATAGGGTTTCACTCTTTTTTTTTAAGGGTTTCACTCTAAAACCAATTATTAATAGAAGGAGTAACCCGCCAGACTTATATACGGGGATTGGAACTCTCCTGTCAGTGATTTGGGATTGAGTTTGCACACCCAACACTTTCTCCCCGAAACCATTCTAACTACGCTGCATTCGACTTCAGATTGCAAGGTTGCACCCTTGTACCTCTCAGCTCCCATGCCACTAACAGGCCATAGAACAAGGTCTATAGCTCTGTACAAATGATAGCCCTAAACTCGGTATTCCCCACAAAACTACCCCTTCATCGGCCCCACTTTAGGAGTCCTGTGTTTGGATCATGAGATCCGTCAGAATTGACCTCATCTGTTTAACAACCACAAGACATAAATGACTCTTATTATGCCATACTAAAATATACGTGGAATTTTCGGATCAAATGTTCAATGGCGTATATTACAAGCATATAATCGGAAACATAATTATTAATTGAAAAATATTTTATCCAGCATACTTTTTTTTTTTTTTTACATTTTCAATATATTCTTTCTTTATCTTTCCAATATAAAAAAAATTAAAAATTTACAATGAAAAAACGATCTAAACATATGAGAAAACGATACAAAATAATTTTTTTTAATACAATCTTAATGTGGTTTTCTTTTAAAGAGGCTCTCTAAGGTATAAATCTCCCTTTTCTTTTTCTGTGTAATTTGCCGGCAGACTCAACAAATTAAAAGGGTAGTTCCCTCCATTAACTCGAAATTTGATCACTCAACTAACTTCAATTTGTTTTGTTCTTTGAGGAGTGAGAAAACGTATGTATCCTCAGCAAGCCCAACAGCCCCTCAACGGCCATCTGTTGTTAGAAAGTAGAAATATGCGCATTTTATATTCAAAAGAATGTCTCATCAAGAAAGCTAGCGCGTATGTCATGAACCTTTTTTTTTCCGCATGAAAGTCTCCTCTCCTCTCCTCTCTAGACGCTCCTCCTCTACTTCTCCTATGGCCGGCCGCGGAGGCCCAACACCCCCTCAACGGCCATCATTTGCACAGATCTTAAGCTCTACCTCTAATCCAAAAATAATTCACACAAAAAATTAAATTCTCAGCCCACCTGTTATTCACTCCGAACCAACTTTATTTAAAGGAGAGCCAACTTTTCTTCTTACAAAAGAAGAAGATAAATAATTGGCAGCCCCATTTCGTCTTGTTCTAGTAGGAAAATTCACCAAAGGTAGACCAAAAATGGACTATCTACGGAAAGAATTCCAAATCATTGGCTTTAAGGGAACTTTTCAATTGGGTCGATTGATTTTCGACACATCCTCATTTGCTTTGATCTTGAAGAGGATTTTTTCATTGTTGTTGGCTTAAAGGACTGTGGACCTTTGACAAGCATCGGATGCGAGTCTTAAAATGGACCACGAACTTTAATCAAGTACACAAAAGTTCCATAGTTCCAGTTTGGATATCTTTCGAAGGTCTCCCCATTCATCGCTTCAATAAGGAATACTTGTGGAAACTTGCTAGCATCATTGGAACTCCACTTCAAATCGATTTTCCAACGCTTAATATGTTACGCCTTTCGATGGCTCGAGTTTGCGTAGAGATCGACCTCCTCAAAGAGGATCCCATTCAGTTAGATTGTGAGTTGAAGGAAAGTCTTGTTTTCAGCCAATCTACTATGAGAACATGCCATAATACTGTGCTGATTGTAAAAAACTTGGTCATGATCATCAATCCTGTCGACACAATTCTAAAGCCTCATCATCACAAAGGCCAGAATCGTATGCTTTAAAGCCTCACTTAACACAAGCGCCATTGCCCAACCCTCCCCCTTCTTCTAATATTATTCAGACTCCATTGCCGCAAACTACCGTCGCTAATGGTGATCCGCTGCCTATCCAGACGGTGTTGCAATTTCCAAAGCAACACGAAGGTGTCGCTGAGCCAGTCACCTGAGGAAATTCAAGTGCGACGGGAGCCTTAAACCTGCACTCTGCGCAACCTCTAGCGGAATCGACTTCTGGATTGACCGCGTTGGAGAAAGCTGTGTAGACGTTCCTGAAAGTCCATCGCTCGCTTTGAATTCAGAAGAGATAGAGGCTGAAGAACTGCCTCAATTATCATCCAAAGCTGCCGCCGGAACGAAGAATGTCGTACTTGATGCTGCTGAACCTGCTGGCAATCATGGCCCTCTGATTGTTAACGCCGCTACGAATTATCATCAATCCTCATTCAATTTGGTTACTGCCACACAACTTTCGCCAATAGAAAGTCAAAATCCCCCGGAGAAGCAATATGTTGAAGCTTGTTCTGGTTTGCGGGCAGCCACTTCTGTTCCGCTACTTCTGGAAGATCATCAAATCATTGTTGCCGACGTCACGGCTCATATAGAAGGTGCTAATGCTGCTGTCGCTGCCGTCGCCGTTGCCACTGTTGCCCCAGTCGCGGCCGCTGCAAGGGACTCCACCAGTAGCGGATAATCTTTTTCGTCAACGGATGGCCAGCGTGGATCAACAGTGATGGAGCAGAATCAAGGAAATCCCGCAAAAACGCGAGTAAATTGCGCAGCATCAGTTGAGCCCGTGAATGCAGCACTGTCCGCAACTCTTGCGCCATCAGCTACTCAAAACCCTATCCCCCAAATCAGCAATGCCAACCAGATAAGAATGACCCAAATTTGAACGTGGTAAATTCACAGTCAAATATTCCTTTACTGCATCCTTCTATCTCAAATTCAGGAAAAATAACTTCCCAAAATAACTCAGCCAATAGGTCTACACAAAAGTTAAATCCCTTGGCACCAGAATTTTCACATTCCTCAGTCACAAATACCAATTCTCTAAGTACTGCTACCTTTTTCAACCCCGAAAAAAACACAATGCTTTTCTAAAGATGATATGGAGGTAGGAAAGAATACTGAGGCTTCAAATACAAGTTAGTCAATTGTAGAAATCTACTCTGAAGGCCGACTAAATCATGTTCCAATGGTTCCGATGAAGACGATTTTGATATGTAACATGCGATGAAACAAGAGTCCTTCTACAGTGAAATTTCTGCTCCAACTTTTCACAATCACTCGAAAAAAGCCAAAGGTAAAAAAAAAGTCCAAGTTCGTCAGTCTGCTAGATTAAATAGGAATTCAACTTTAGCTTAAGATTAAAATTGTATTTTATATAAGGTTAGTATATACGCTGCCTTATTATTTTTAATAAAATTGTTTTTTGAAAAAAAATGCGCATTTCTTTGCTCTGAATAATTACTTAACCACGTGCTGAGAATAGCGATATATAAGCGGATATTTTATTACTAATACTAATCATCGTTATTCTATCACACGTCCATTTCCTTCAAGTTTTCTAACTCAACAGAATTGATTTGGCCGGCAGCTAGCGGAGAGCTCTTAAAAGAAATTAAAGCAGGCCGTTGAAAGAGTTTAAAAATTTTCAAATAATACGTTCGTATGAGTATAGTATTTTTAAATTATTAATAGTCGTTTCTTTCCAAAATAAGAAATTCGTCTTTAGAATTTACGTATTATGATAAGCAGAAAAGAGTGGTGCCTTGCTCCCTAGTTCCCAGTGTCGTCTCACCGACCTTCCGATTTAATTGCTTCACTAATTCTCCTTCTCCCTATTTTCTCATTCTCAAAGCCTCTCCAACCATTGTATTATAATTTAAACAAAATTAGGTGCAAAAGTAAAATATTCTAAGTATTTTTTTATACTTAAGTTTTTTGCGTTGCAACTACGATGCACCAAAAGATCGAATATTAAATATTTTAGTTTAAATTTTATTTTTCTGGTTAAATAAAATCTTGTAATTTGGTAATAAATTCGTGAAATTAGTTTCTTATGATTGTTTTTTATATGATTGTAGAATATCAATTCTTTTTTCAATTTTTATTTCATACTGAATTTTAATAATAACCAAAATTTAATTTTTTAAAATAAATTTTATATTCAGTATGAGTCTTATCTTGTAGATCTCAATTTAATATGATATAATTTTAACAGTATAATTTGTCTTACAAGTTCAATTACATAGTAAACCTATATTTAGATCAAAGTAAGAAGATAGTGCCCTAAAAATAGTGTAAACAATTTGCATCAAATCTGATGTAATACTATTCATTACACTATTCATTGCAATGACACCACATCAATGTACTATTTTGGTGCAATATGTATTTTAGTGTTTTCGTTGTAGTACAAGGTTTGCATCAAAATACCCAATTTACGGTTTTGGTGTATTTGTTGGAGATGTTCTGAGATCTTAAAAAACAGTTAGGGGCCTGTTTGGTTGCGACAGATTATGGGCCCGAAAGTAATCTAATTCCTTGTTTTTAAATTCAAGTGTTTGTTTGGCATAGAGAATTAAAGTAATTATTTTCCTAACTTTTAAATTCCTTTGTTTGTTTACTTTTTGGATAGGAAAAAGAATCCTGAAATCAAGGAAAATAAACACAACTTTCCTGAATTATGATTCCTCACCTTGGGAGGTGGTATTGTGATTCCAAACTTTTAGGATTTTAACATTTACTCATTTTTTATTCTCGATAACTTTATTTTATCATCATTTTCATATCATTCATATTTTATTTATTTTTTCTTAATTTTATTTATTTACATATTTTTAAAATTTTTTACAATTTGATTAATGATTTTTTAATTGATAAACTATTTGATTTGGCCACATAAAAACTATACACTTTATCAAAATAATTTTTTAATCAATAAAATATGAATTTTTGATTTACCAATAACCAATAACACAAAAGTAAAAATGTAAATCATTCGCAAAAAATTCAACATAGAATTACAAGATAGGATTTGGATTACGATAGGATTTGGATTATGTTAGAAGTAAAAATGAGAAAAATATTTTTAAATACATCTTTAAGGGTATATCAAAATATTTTAAATTATTTTTTAAAAAAATACTATGATCGTTATAAAGTAGTTTTAACCTGTGATAAAAACATAGTAGTTGTAAATAAATTTGACACTCAAGAACACATGTCTATTACATTAAATAAAATTTGAATTTGATTAATCTAACTCAAAATTAAATCATCTTTGATTGGTTAAAAGTTTAAACATACAAACACATAGGTATACATATAGTTAACACTAGTAGATTACGTGAATAAGTTCTTGCTCGTGTGGTTGGACTTTGAGCATATTTTCTCGAGATTTTGAATGGAATTTCAGAAAGAATATTTTGGGAGCTTATAGGCTATATTTTTTTTATTTTTTTTTCACATTCAAGTATATTTTCCAAAATAAAACCAAATACAAGAAAGTATTTATATTCTTCAAAATCATACTCTCATGAATCAGAAAGTAAAATAAAGTAATAATTATCCACAGAATTAAAATCCTAGGAATGTTAACTTTACTATCCCTAACTTTCCAAGCAACTAAACATGCCCTAGATTTTTTTTTTTTTTTGCTAAGGTCATTGAAAGTAGCTATATACCATAAAAATCTCTCCACTTGTATGGAGTTATCTTCTTTATATACTAGTGATGTCTGGTCGCGCAATGCGCGATCATGGCCCAGTCTATCTGTAGATCTTAGAAATATTTATATTTGAAATAAATAAAATTTTGTATTTGGAGCGATATATTTTAGAAATATTTGAAGGATTTAAAAATATTTTATAAGTATGATCATAGAAATATTTGTATTTCGCAAAAAAAAAAAAATTGTATTTCGCCATGTATGTTTTAAAAATGTTTTATAAGTGTTACTTATTAAATATAAATAGCCTTAATCGAATATATGTGTTGAAGTAAATGTTAGATAAAATATAAAAGCATCCTAATAAATTTAAATATTAATAAGATGATTTATTGATGTTCTCCATTGGTCGTGCCAAATCAATACTTAGTTTTGGAGATTTTTAATAGCTTTGTAATAAGCTTCATCCGAAGGGTATACGCTTAAAACAAAATTGGCACTTTGTAACAAAAAATCTAATTGATCAATTCAATTTAAAAAACCACTCTAGTTGAATGAAACATAAAGAAAAAATTAAAAAAAAAACGTGTCACGTAAAGTGCAAAGGGAGATTTAGTAATTTAGTTATGGTTAGATAAAAGGGCAATTTAGTATTTTCTACATGCCACGTGGCAATCATATGAGGTGTTTGAAAGGGGGGTTTTTGTTTCTAATATAGTAGGATATATGGGAGTGGCTAGAATTTCGTTACGGATGGTTACGTTTTAGGATAATAACCGTAGGATTAATTAGGCTAATTAACAACCGTAATATTAAAATGAAGGTGCATCATAAGTAAATATATCTAAACCCACCTGATTAAACAGAACAAATTAGAGAAAATGGTCAATTTGCGCAAAACTTTAAGTGTTTGGCCAATTTGACCCAAAAAATTTTTGGGAAGCCAAATTCATCATTTAAGTTTTAATTTCTGGCCAATTTAATCCCTTTGATGAGGATTCGATTAGATTTAACACCTCTGCTGACATTCTATTACTTTGTACAATTTTTCATTTGAAAAAAAATTTGTGGACCCTATAATTTCGACATTTTAACTCCAATGATTTTAGTTATTCTAATGATTTTAGTTATTCTAAAATATATCTATAAATTTTTTTTCCTTTTTCATTTATACAGTCAATATTAGAGTATGCATTGCATTTATGTATCTTAAATTCTTTTTATATTGGATTAAATGTACATCATTTTTTTTCAAAATTGTACCCCAAAAGGCTAACTTTTTTAAAAAAATTTTTAACTTAGAATTAATGTTAAAAATTAGACACCATATGTAATGTATGATGCAATTTATTTTAAGTGACTATAAAAGTTTTAATGCCATTATAAATTACTATACTCAACAAAATAACTCAGAAAATGTTGTCATTAACTCCAAAGATTCTATTAATTTTCAAAGATTCTGTTATCCGTCAGGAATTTTGTTTGTTCATTATCTTCATTATTTTGTTATTTTCTTTCAAAAAACGTTCAATAAAATAAGGTATCTACCATCGCCTCCAGCGGCCAACACCACTATCATCACCTTTGGCCGTCTTAACGTCTATGTAGGGGCATTAATTTTCTTTCTTCTACATAGTACATCGATTTAAATGATAGTCCTTGAATTTAAAGGTAGTAAATAACTGAGTTTAATGGACGGAAAATGTCTTTAATAAGTGAATTGAGACTACTCTCTAAATCAACACCCACAAAATGTAAAAGGATATTTTCTGAGTATAAAGAATTTTGAAGAATAGAAAGATACCAAAAGAAATTTTGATAAAAAGTTGCTAAATAAGATAAATATATCTCCGCAATGATTTCTTTTTTGGCTTCCATGGAGAAGAAGTGGGATAGTGCAGTCAGATGGAGGGCCGTTACTTCTTTTAGAAAAAAGAATGACTAAAATAGGAAAAATAAGTAAAGTATTTTGTAATTTTGTGGAATGAAGAAAAGTGGCAGCGACGGAAACGCTGGTAGTGATGGAGGGAGGATTATGTACTGTTGGTAGAGGCATATTTTTATGTTTGTGGTGATGATTTGAAATCCTCACAGATTTAGGAAGTAGTGATGGTACTTTTTAAGGGAGAAGATGAATGGGGCGGTGGTGGTGCGGTGGTGGAAAACAAGTAAAGGAGGAAGGATGGGGAAGAAAAGGAAGGGGCTTAAGGTGGGGGAAATGGATTAGATTAGGAGATAAATTATGTGGTGGAGAGGATTATAATAATTAAATAGTAAGATAAGCGTATGTTACTGAATGACAAAACAGTAGGAATAAAAATTTTAAAATTTTGGGTCAACAAAATTTTTTCCCAATAAAAAAAACTGTAAGTAACTATGTCAGTGGAAATATTAAATCTAGTAGAATTCTCATCAATTGGATTAAATTAGCCAAAATTGAAGCTCAAATGATGAATTTGATTTTTCAAAAATCTTTCAGGTAAAATTGGCTAGACACTTGAAGTTTTTTACTATGGAATTTTTGTTTTTTTAATATATGCATGGCGCAAAAACACATATATAATGTCAACTGTATTTGTTTTAATATATGCTAGCAAGCACGGGCAAGAACGTGGTTTTCATCTGTCCCTACAAAAACAAAAATTCTTATATTGACATTATATACTTGCTCTGTTGTAGAATTATTATCCTGTTTGTTGTACATTGATTTCGCATTATTATCCTGTTTCTTATCTCCAAGATTTATTTCAACTTAATTTTTTTTTTTAAAAAAATAGTACTTGTATATTTATTAGAAGTACATAAACTATTACGAAAACATGTATTATATACTACATTATGCAATTCTCCAACCTCATTCCTGCTAACCTCATTCCAACTTGAATTTACTTTCCAACGACTTTCAAGGTATTGATAATACGTAATGAATAGTCTCAAATTTCAGGATGGCCTCTCGGTGGATTCTTGAGCCACACCAGCTTCCAACAACTTTAGTACATAGGTATACTGGTGTGTTTTAAGAGATTTAATTTTGGACAAAGAATGCTTATGTATACTGTCAATGTGAGAGTGTGACATGGTCTGTTGCTAAGTCAAATAATTGAATCATGCAGCACATTATCTGCTAATTATGCAGATTTCTAGCCAGAAGGCTTGTTAATTAAGTATAGGATGGATGGACGAGCGAAAGGGCGAACACGCGTGGTGTCTCTCCAATAATTGTAATATTCCCTCCCCGACTCCGTAGACTCCTATGTAATAGTCTAATTAGGTACTTGTAAAAGTTGTATTAAAAAAATAAAAAGAATAATTGAATTAGTTAAACAATTTTATTAACAAGATAGCTAGGATGAAAAAATTTCCGCAGCTCAGAATTAATTTTGGTACTCATCTGTGAGAGTACGAACGTATTAGTACATTTCGTTTATAAAATGCAATTTTGTTTATATGCATATAACGTTTTCACGCGTGACAATTGATCTAGTGTTTATTCTATTTGCTACCATTTACTAATATGTTATTCCTAGTGACTAAATTTTGTTTTGTTAGGGCAAAAAAATTAATTGATTTTGGGGTATAGAAGTCAACTAGTTTTACAATGATGATTCAACAGAGACATGTTCACGTAATTAAGGTAGAATAACTTTGTCGTAGGATGAAAACAAAATTGTCGCTGTTGAATAAAAAGACCCCAAAATTAACAATTTCCCTAATCAAGTAGTATATCATTGTAATAATTTGCCGAATTTACAGCATATTCTTGCTTTTATAATGAGCGTTGCAGACAGTAGCCACTTTTACTTCTCATTGTGCAAACTAGCTTACGCACGTATGTTAACGATAGTTACTGTAAATTGTTTTCTATATACTCTTTCTGTCTTAAAATGATTATCTATTTAAATTTTATTCTTAGTAAATTTTGTACTAAAACTAAAATTTTATAAAATATGACAATTTTCAGACGGAGAGAATATATGTTAGGGAGGAATTACATATTCTCTCCCCCAATCCCCCTCACGCTGTCAAAGCTTCCGCATTATTTTTTTGGGAACAGGGAAAACAAAGACTTCTATAAGTCCCTTAAGAATTACCATATGAATTTCGTCACCTATCACAATTTTCGACCATATATTAGAGTTCCGGGAAGGTAGAAAGTTTTGGGTCCATTACTCTAACTACCAAACAGTCAACGCTTATTTTAGATCATTACAGCAAAGGCAAGTATATAGTACGGCATGTAAACAAAAATCAGTTATTTATTTCGTTCCGAAAAAATAATCCACATCGACTTTTGAGTTTTGTACTGTTTTTAGTACAAATTTGAAAACTCAATATGGGCTATTTTTGTGGCATGAGGATAGTATTGAAACTTAAAAATACTAATTTGTAAATTGATACATTCAATTTAGACACAATTTCCATAAATCATACAGATGATACCAATCATCAGTCGAAGAATCAAAACAGCATAAAGAATCTGAAATTTGGCAATGAAATCAAAGGAAATAATTGCAGTAAATGCTAGGTTTCAAAGCTTGGAGAAAAAGCTTTCTAAACTTGGGGGAAAAAATCGTGGATACATTTTCTATATTCTGTACAACTAACATTCCTTAATCTCTTTTCCAAAAAAAAAAAAAAATCCTCAATCTATCTATATATACAATTCTGATGACTCATTATTTACACACTCTAAACTAACACAATTTAATCCAATGGCTAATGCTTTTAATTACAAGTATCTAATGACGCATTTGACGGCTGGATTATGTACTCGAAGATGGGATTCTGGATTGATGACATGGTAGGACATGCTGTTTCCAGTAACATTCTCGCTGAGGACGATTACAGTTGGCAGCGTCAAACAGCTTAACTGATTCGGGACCACTTGCTGATGACATCGACTTTGATCCGATGCACGCAGCTTCATGTTTATTCTTCTGCACATGCTGTTGCATTGCTGAAAAGTCAACACTAGAATCTTCCCGATTTTGTAACATAACAACAACGTCCAGATGACAGCTTAGCTTACATAACATTGTGTAAATGGGGGGTTGTATCCTAACTAGCTTCTACAATCATAAGTTTAACAAATGAAGAATAAAAACGCGCCAATTGGGGTCAAATATAGATTTTTTTGTTTCTAATCCCAATTACAATCGTACAACACCTGATGTGCACCATGTGGTTGTTAGTTCTTATAGCTTGCCAAATATATCTACTGTGTGTGGTTGTTAGGTGAAAATTGCTATAAAAGGACGCAACATTTTTCCCGTTTTGTTGTATATCACATTTTCTCATACTAATCTCTCAACTCTTGGTAGCATACATTTTCAGTCGTTACAGTTTTTGTCTGAAAACATAATGGCCCCTACTCTTTTGTCCGATTATAAAGTTGGAAAAAGGTAGCGATCATTCGCCCTAATAGCTAGCAGCTTTAATCCCTTTTTTTTTTTTTTTCTTCGAACAATTATGTTGATGATCCACTATCAATGAATAAATGTTTTCTTCTGTTGCAGGTTGGAAGGCAAAGTGGCACTGATTACTGGTGCAGCTCAAGGTGTCGGCGCTTGCATAGCTAGGGTTTTTGTCAACCATGGAGCCAAAGTTGTCTGTGTTGATATCAACGCGGAATCAGGTCAATCTTTTTGTGACAAATTGGGTTCTCAAAATGCAACTTTCATCTACGGTGACGTGACTAATGAGTCGGATATAAAAACCGCGATCAACAGGACAATTGAGAAACATGGAAAGCTGGATATCATGATCAACAATGCTGGCATCATAGATGATCTGAAACCTAACATCCTCGACAACAATCTTTCTGATTTCGAGCAGGTTATGCGCGTGAATGTGGCCGGGGTTTTTTTAGGCATCAAACACGCTGCCCGGGTGATGATCCCCGCGAAAAGTGGGACCATCATCAATCTTGGGAGTATTTCGGGTAGTATTGGAGGGATAACTTCTCATGCATATTGCAGTTCTAAACATGCTGTGGTTGGATTGACTAAGAATGCAGCTGCTGAGCTCGGGAAACATGGGATTAGGGTTAATTGCTTGTCTTCTCACGCTGCTTACTCAGAGATGGCCAAAAAACTTTTCGACTTCGATGAGGATGGAAAAACTAGAGCAATCACAAGTCTTGAAGGCGTGGTTCTGCAGCTAGAAGATTTGGCGCACGCTGCTGTTTATATGGCGAGTGATGAAGCAAGGTTCATGAGCGGACATGATCTGAAGTTGGATGGTGGTTTTACTGTCATCAATCCTTCATTTGGGCTGTTTTCTAAATCTTGATATGATTGTGGAATGTTTGTTTGTTTGCCTTCGAATATGGCTTTTGTTTGCTGAATCTGGATTTACTTTTAAAGTTGATGAAATGCTGTGACAATAAGTTAATTTTTAAACAAAATTGAATAAAAAAAAGACCCCAATTAATGAGCGCTTGAGATGAGGTGCATGCATCTTGGTTTCACGTCAACTGGGGATACAGAAAAATAAGGTCATAATGATTTGATTCCATAAATAATGTATAATTCCCAAAATCTCTATATAGTCTCTAAGAAAAAAAAAAAAAAAGAAACGGCCGTATGCAATTTTTATTATTCCCTACAAACTTCATTGAATTGAAGTAAAACCGTATGAAAAGTGAAAAATTAAAATTTAACGGGGACATAATTATCATTAATATTTATTAACTTAGCTCTACATATATACTTCCGTAGTCAAGTGACTCAGAAATTGCCTTTGAGGGGAATGGTCCTTTTTTTCCCCTGTTGATCATTTCGAGTGTAAAAGGTCTTTTTTCTTAGTACTATGAGTTTATAATTTGTAAGGCAATAGGTGACATTTTTCCATGTTATTCAAACTCTCACGCAAACTGCAGTTTTCTTTTTGCTAATTATTAATAATTGACTGACAAATTACTGTAGGTTCAGTGCATGCCCGTACTAGTAGTCTAATAATTTAATAGATAAAAAATATTTGCTTGAATTAAATATTACTCCTTCCAACATTCTGAAATGATTATAATTAACAATTAAGAGGATATATAGTTAGTTTGAGAGGGAGAAAATATTATTTGTTTGATATTGTTTTTGCATTTGCATCTATATAACGTACTTACGATCTTGTGTGAACAGAGTATTAAATGGAAAATTTTTTCCAAATAAGTAAAGAAATAACGATATGGAGCTAAAACAAAATTAAGAAAATTAGTGAATATTATCGACCATGACGTAATAAAAAATTTAAGATTTTGTTTCTAAGATTGTGTTTGTTAAGATCACTGGTCATTTTCTCAAAACAAACTTCTGATTCCAACCACCCAGATCCCTATCAATTTCGTATCGTATTAATTTCATGTACTCTCCAAAGAAAACATATTGAATTTTGAAATTCAATTTTGAAATTTGTATTAATAATAATACTCTATTTGTCCAAAATTGATTATCCGTTTCAGATTTTCACTTTTAATACAATTTAAACTAAAAGAATAAAAATTCAAACTAGATAATTATTCAAGACGGATAATTAATATCTGTTATATATTATAGATGATTTATTGTTTTGAAAAGTATTTTATTTATATGGTGGCATGTGAGATACCTTGTGACGTTTTCACAAGCTATAAACATACGGATCTTTTTTTATTTTTATTTTTTTCATGTAAACCGAACCTAATTGGGACGTTTTGGTGTTAATCCGATCAAAAAAAAAAGATGTTGAATTAGGGAATCAAGAATGAGAGAATTTGGGGAAAGATTTTCTGTATATTAAACGTGTAATGAATTTATCAAAGTTCGATAATTACAATTAGACATAGATTATGTATTTATAGTCTAATAAGGCAACTAACCGACTAAACTATGCACAATTACAACCAAGTCCTTAGACTATACAGAAAGTACAAATTAAACTATACAAAACAAATTGTACAAACTAATGAATCTGTACACTAATTCACTATATTCACAACCCTTCCCCCAAGTTGGATGACGAAGGGGATCCTTCAAGCCAAGCTTGATAAGCAAAGATTGAAAGAAAGGATAAGGCAAGGATTCTGTAAATAAGTCGGCAAGCTGATCTTTGGATGGAACATAGAGTGGAGCTAAGAAGCCGGATTGATAATAGAGACGAACAAAATGGCAATCAATCTCGAGATTTTTCATTCGCTCATGGAAAACAAGGTTTTCACTGATATAAATTGCGGAAGCATTGCACACCAAAGTGGAATGGGACCTTGAAGATGGATACAAAATCTTGAAGTCGATAAGATATCCAAAGCATCTCTTTACAAGTTGTACTTAAACTTCGATACTCAACCTCACTAGATGAACAACATATGGTGTCCTGTTGTTTAGCTTTCCAGGAAATAAGAGATGAACCAAGAAAGATGCAAAACCCACTGATGGACTTGCGTTCAACAGGATTGGAGCCCCAATTACGCTTTAAGATTAAAAGAGCTGGAAGAAGAATAGAATACACCAAGGGAAGGGGTACCTTTGAGGTATTTGAGAACATGAAGGAGTGCCTCCCAGTGGTCTTCACAAGGAACTTGAATATACTTGTTGAGTTGTTGCACATCAAAAGCAATGTCAGGCCAGGTGAAGCTCAGGTATAACAACTGTCCAACAAGCTTCTTGCAACAGGAAGCACTAGGCAATGGCTGTCCAGGAGAATCAGTAAAGTGATGACCCTTGGGTAAGGGTGTGGTTGTAGGCTTACAACCAAGCAGACCAACATATTGTAGTATGTCTAAGATGTATCTTCTTCGATTGAGATACATCCCTTCTTATGATCTGGCAATTTCAATCCCTGGGAAGAACTTTGCAAAACCAAGATCTTTGATGGTAAGTTGCTGGTGAAGAAAAGTCTTAACTTAAGCTATGACAGTATGATTAGACTCAGTAATAAATATGTCATCAACATAAACAAGTAAAGCTGTAAACTGACCATCATTGCTGAAAGTGAAGAGACAATGATCATGAAAAGACTGCTTGAATCCAAACAATCGAATATGTCCAGTGAACTGTCTGCTGGCATGTTTCAATCCATATAATGATCTATGGAGTTTACAAACCTATTGAGCATTGTTGGTGAGGTAACCAGGATGAGGTTCTATGTAAACTATTCTTCAAGATAGCCATGAAGAAAGGCGTTGTTGATGTCAAGTTGGTGAAGAGACCAATCTGAAGCAGTAGCTATAGCCAGCATCAATCTCACTGTGGCAACTTTAACAACAGGTGAGAAAGAGTCATAAAAGTCTTCATCGTCAATCTGGTTGTAGCCCTTGGCCACTAATCTTGCTTTGTACCTTTCTATGGATCCATTAGAGTTGAATTTTACCTTATAAACCCATTTACAGCCAATACTTTTGTTTCCAGCAGGTAGAGTAGTAAGATTCCAAGTATGGTTAGCTTCCAGAGCATCAACCTCTGCTTGCATTGCTTCAATCCAATGAGGATTAGTTATGGCCTCTGCATAAGTCTTTGGTTCCTTGACTGAATGTATGTGAGCCAGAAAAGACACGTGTGTAGTATAAAGAGAAGAATCTGTATTGAAGGGAAAAGTCTGTGGTGTATGTGGAGAGCTTTGTGGTAAGGCAGAAGAAGAGACATTAACAGCCATATTGGCTTTACAATGTTCAAAATCCTTCATCTAAATAGGTGGACGAGACACTCTAGTACTTCTTCTTTAAACAGGAGCAGGAACTGAGTGTGAAGAAGAAGGGTTATCAAATGAAATAGGTGGAGGGGAATGATGTTGATCTTCATGTGTAGAAGAATGTTGTGGAGAATTAGAATTCTCAGAGATAGAATTTGTGGAAGTAGGATAGGATGCATATCAGAAGGCCAAGTTGCCAAATCAGGATTAGGAAAAACAGAAGATTCTGAGGAATGTTTATATTGGAAAACAGTCTCATGAAAGACTACATCCCTTAACACAAAAAACTTATGAGCTTGTAAATCATACAATTATATCCCTTTCGACCAGCAGGATATCCAACAAACACAGATTTGATAGCTGCGGATTCAAACTTATCCATATGTGGCTGGGTGTTGGTCGCATAACAAAGGCATCCAAACACTCTCATATGTGTATAGAGGGGAGGTTTAGAGTATAAGAGTTCATAGGGTGTTTTCCAGTGTAATAAAGAGGTAGGTAGTCTATTTATAGTGAAACCATGGTCAGCTGAAAAGGGGATTAACTATAGGGAGGTAGAGAAGGTCCCTGTGTGGATTCAGTTGAAAGGATTGGAGTTAAAGTAATGGAATAATGCCTCATTGAGTAGTATTGCTAGTACCATAGGAGTGCCTATTCGAACTAATAAAACAACTGCAAACAGGGAACGTGTGAATTATGCCAAGTTGCTTGTGGAAGTAGAAATACAGGAGAAATTGAATGAGAAGGTGTTTTTTGAAGATGAAAATGGAAATATTAAGGAGCAGCAGATAGTATATGAGTGGAAACCAGTGATGTGTAATTGCTGCAAGGGATATGGACATCTCACTGAGCATTGTCATAAAGATCAAAGGGTGCAGAGGAATAATGCGGATAAGGCTGTTATGGTGAATGGAGAACCTGAGAGGAAGTACAGGAATGACAAGGGGGGCTAGAGGGAAATAAGGAAACAAGAAGTAGTGAATGAAGTAAAAAGTCATAACCTACCGGATAAAAGGTTACTCACTTTGAATGGAAGGGTTGTGCAGGGGGGGCTAAATGATAAGATTATACAAAGGTTTAGTATGTTCAGCAGGGGAAGTAGTTCAAAAAATGGAGATGAGAAGGAGCAAAGTGTGGAGGATATAAGGACCAAAACTATTGACCCTTATCCAAGGATCAATGAGTAATGTAATGACTTGGAACATAAAAGGCCTTAATGGTCCCTTAAAGTAGAAGGAAATAGCTAGATTCCTGTCTGCAAATGGAATTGACCTAGCATGTATCGTGGAGACAAAGCTGAGCAAAGAACTAGCAGGCGAAATGGTAAGAAAATGGTGGTGTAATAGGAGCCAGTATACAAGCTATGATACCAAGGGGAAAGGGAGAATATGTTTTATATGGAGTGATGATGTAAAGTTGCAGTACTCAGCAGTACAAAACAAAGAGTGCACTGTAAAGTTTACTTCAAACAGTTGGACTTTCAGTTCTACTATACTGCAATCTATGCTTCAAACAACCTACAAGAAAGGGAGGAGTTATGGGATGAGTTAATATGTTTAGCTACAAATATACAAGAGCCATGGATCCTGGTAGGAGATTTTAACAATGTCCTAAAAGCAGAAGAGAAAAAGGGAGGGAGAACAGTTCAACTAAATGAAGTGGAACATTTTCAAATGTGTGTAGATGTATGTGGAATACAAAATGTAATGCAGGTGGGACCAGTATTCACATGGTGTAATAAGGAACACTACAACAAATATGGCCTT